CATGTTTATATACCCTTCCTCCAGAAGTGACTTATTTGTTCCCAACCAAAGGGAAGATAATTAGTACTTCAAGTCTACTACAGCCAATGAAGTTACACATACTGATTATTATGAGTAATTGTAAATGAAGGCAAAGGACATTTATACTGCTTCCAGAATCATTCTACCCAAATCTCAGGTTAGAAAACCGAACACTTTCTTATAATTAAGCCGTGCCAACTTCTTCAGTTTTACAGAAAACTGGTATCACAAATTATTCCTGCAGGATTTCAGTAGATTCACCATTCTCTTCCCACTGTTTCTCTTCCCAATGGGATGACAGGAAATCTCCATATTGCTTGGTTTTTGGTGATGGGCTTCTTAAGTACTTCTGAGATGGTAACCCATTTGTTCACTGACTGGTGAGATTCTGTACCTTCTTTATTTTTCATTTTCTCATCTGTGTTAAATCCACCATTCTGTTGGTTTATTGCCAAGTTCCAACCTGATTCTCAGCTTCTGCTTTCCTCCCCCTCCCCCTTAAACTAGTGTCACTGGATCACTTCCTGTAAATGTAAAGGTACTCCGTGTTTCCAACGCGAGAGAACTTGAGCCAGCTCTTGAACATCATTCTGGGATTCAGCATCACATCACCCTTAGGGCTGGACTAGTCCTGACATGGGCTACAAGTCTGGGCTTCTGGTGCTCTATCTCTGATCTCTGGTTAGTGTTGATAACACAATTGAATGGCTTGTCAGCATACTAATACGCTCAGGTCTTTCTGGAACAAGATTGCTTGGGGAAATTTACAGGACAAACAGCAGCAGGTATGAAGTTCCTCATTGTTTGTTATAATTAGAGATAGCACAGAGGAATTTAGAGAGCCCAAATGTCAGATGCAGATAGAAGAACCCTGGCCCTAGCCCTGGAGGGTTTTAAATTGCAGGACTGAGGAAGAATCAGCACCCTCTCATTGTGGTCACAGTGGGACATAGCAGAACATCTAGTTCAGAACGGAGTCAAAACTAGATAAGATAAGGCCATCCAGGCTGATTTAATGTGTGTTACCCTGGACATAATAAGAACATGACCTTTAAATACGGAAAATATAAAATTAGATCCTGACTATACTACGTTCTACGTGACCATGGCAAAGTTTCCGAATCACTCGAAACTATATTTCTGCACTATTGAAACAAACCACCAATGCAGTAGTCATTACGAGGACTAAACAAGCAGTACACATCAAGCCCGGAGTGCAGTGCCTGGCAAAAACCAGATATTCCATAAATAAAAAGCTGTTTATTTCCTTTTCCCAATCAAGCAAAGGCATGCATTAGACCTATGAATCAGATCTGACAGTACAAAGGAAAATATGTTCCGCTTCCTTTCCAGCACAACTTTCCTAAGAATTATCTGCATCTATTATTTCCACTTTCTTACCTCCCAAATTCTCTTTGTGGGGATGGACAAAGATTGGTGCCTCAACATCTTTTCCCCCACCTGACTATGTAACAGCAACATGGCTGGGGTGTAGCTGACCCATCCTCCTTGCCACAGTGGTTGTGGTAGGACAACCACATGATTAGAGATGATACAAAGAGGGGAGGCTCAGAAGTGTGGTTTGATGGTTGGGAGTGGTGCTTTATGGAGGCATGATGGCTGGAACTGCTATAGATGCCACGCTGCCGTGAGGAAAGCCAGCTTGACAGTAAAAGTGACACAGAGGAGAGAGTCAAGATAAGAGTGGAGTGAAGGAGCCAGAACTGTGATCACACTGAACCTGAAAACTGCCTGACTCCTGGACTTTTAAATAATGTGAATCAATAAATGCCTTTATTTTTATATTTTTACTTTTTAAAAACTTTTTTCCCAGCTTTATTGAGGTATAATTGACAAATAAAAATTGTATATATTTAAGGTGTACAACATGATGTTTTGATATACATATACACTGTGAAATGATCATCTCAATCAACCTAATTAACATATCCATCACCTCACATAGTTTGCTTTTTTCTTTTGGTGAGAGCACTTAAGATCTATCTTCAGCAGATTTCAAGTATACCATACACTATTATGTTTTCTACTTGTTTTTTTCTACCAACTTTTGTGTCCAGAGAGGGATGACTTTCAATAGATCTCAAGGAGGGAGCTGCTCTGCTACATAGGAACCCCTGAACCAGAAGCAGGTCATCTGTGAATGGTTTAGTACCAGGTTCCCCACAAATATGTGTTGCATGAGCAGCAAGGGGGCAGCCTCCTTTCCAATCGTGCCCCATTTCCCAGAAAGGGGCTCTCGCATCAGACCCAGTCCCGATGCTGGCGGGGCATGTTGCAACATGCGGGGCTCCTGGGGACCCTCCAATTAGTCAGTGGGGGACTGGCTGTCTGAAGCCATCTGAGGCCAACCTAGGCTCCGGCCCCAGCACTGCCACATCATTCAGCCTGGCTGGGGTTCTGACTTAGAGGCGTTCAGTCATAATCCTACAGATGGTAGCTTCACCCCATTGGCGCCTCTAAGGAGCATACACCAAATGTCTGAACCTGGTAGGATAGTGTTATTACTTGTGGTCTCTGTGCTGTACATTAGATCTCCAGAACTTATTCTTTCTGCATAACTGAAACTTCGTACCCTTTGACCAAAATCTCCATATTTCCCCTACCCCCACAACCACTGGCAACAACCATTCTACTCTTTGCTTTTATGAGTTGGACTTTTTAAAAATTTCCCCTATAAGTGAGATCGTGCAGTATTTTCTTTTCTCTGTCTGGCTTACTTCATTTAGCATAATGCCATCAGTTTTCATTCATGTTGTCCCAAATGGTGTGATTTCCTTTTTTTTAAGGATTAATAATATTCTGTTATATATATCTATATATATCTCTGAAAATAATCTACTGATGCACTATTTGATTTTTTAAAATTATTTTTCTTTCAAATATATATTTTTCAAATGTATATTTTATATATTGTTAAATTATTGATTTCTCTACATAGTATTTATATTTATTTCAAATATATTTTATTTGTTTTTTATTGTTTTTATTTTTGTTTTATGTCTTTGATGTAGGCATTTATTGAATCACTAATTTAGTCACCAATAGGAGACTGAATAAGTAAATTACATATTTCTTTCATAGAATGCAGCCAATAAAAGAATGAAGCAATTCCATGTGTACTAAAGTGGAATGGTGGCCAAGATAAGTTAAGTGAAAATAGCAAAGAGAAAAGCAGTGTGAATTTGCATGTTACCATTTTGACTTGAAAAGATGATATTAATTCTTGTGCATGTATAAAATAGCTTTGAAAGGACTCATAAGAATCTACTTGGTGGCCTCTGAGAAAAGAAACTAGATAGTGGTGACAAGGGTGTGAGGAAAATTAGCTTTTCATTGCATAATGTGTTTTACCTTTTGAGTTTGTGTTTTGACTACATAGTACCTATCCAAAAAGATAAACCAAATAAATTGGGGTAATTTTTAAAATAAAGAAATGCTCAATTCCTGGCATAATATTGCTATTTACTAGAATTCCATTTAAAAATCTCCCATATGCTCTCTTTCATGTTCATAGTTTTAAGAAGAATCTAAATGTGAAAAATCCCACATATTTATATCTTCTCTTTTATTTAAATTAGGATGTAAGTGACATATAACATTGTATTTGCTCTAGGTGTATGACATAGTGATTTGATATATGTATATATTGAAAAATGATTACAATACATTTAGCTAACATCCATCACCACACATTGTTACTATATCTTCTCTTTTGACTTCCAGACTCGTTTACCTCATGTCCTACTTGGATATCTCACAGACATTTCAAAAATTGGCAAAACTAAACATTTCTCCCTAACTCTTACCCTTTCCTCACAAAACTGCTTCTCTCCAAGTCTACTCCCATCTCAGTCAATGCTGTCACCATCAACACTTATGCTTAAGGAAGCTATCTGGGAATTATTCTGGCCATTTCCCTCTCTCTTAAACTCCATATCTAATCCATCATAGAGTCCTATTTTCTATCATATATATATATTATATATATATATAATATATTCTGTCTTTGACTCTCCAGTGTCACCACTTTAATCCAAGGCCATCATCCTCTCACCTAGTTTCCACGTCTCCCCTCAAAAACCTTCTCCAATGCCACTCCCTCAAAAGTTCTTCTAATATCACCTAATTCAAAGTAGATCCTCCTATTATTCTATTAAATAAGTCTATTCTTTTCCTTTATAACTCATTAATTTTACAATTGCATGTACATATTTGTCACTGTTTGCTTATATTCTTTTTTGCTGGATTATAATCTCAGCGAGGGCAGGAGCTGTGTCCATTTTCTCAGGTTCCTGTGCCTACAACCCAGCACAATGCCTGGCACATGGAATCTACTTAATAAATTATTCTCAAATGAATGAATAAGTAAAGAGTGAATGAGCTCTTACTGTGTAGCAAGTATGTGCTAGACACATTACTTAGGGGTGATGTATCTGTCTTAGGGTAAGCATCTGCCTGTGGACTTCTAGCATGCACAGATACATGGAGAGTACAAGAGGATATTGTCATGTGTGAATAGGGTGGATATGAGCATGTTTGTTTCCTAGGGCAGGGAAAGGGGTTCCGCTGAGGAAATATACAAGACAAAGGAAAAGAAGAACAGGTTTGATCTCCCCACCTGAAAAATGAGGGGTGTGGACCAGGTTATTTGCTATAATCATAGGATTCTGCTTCATGATTTTTTTCCAGAGCCTGCCCTACAAGGTGACAACTTTCCTAGTCTTTCTCTTAGGAGGTTTCAGAAACAGTATGATGTTTGGGTGGTGGAAATAAGCAAGTAGGGCAAGTAGTAGATTGTCTTCAGTTCTAGAAGAGCCCATTGTGAGGCCCCAGCCATGGAGACCCTAATCCTAACAGTGTCTGAGGATCTCAGGCTATCTTCTGCTCAGTACAGAATGTGCCCAAGATTGTGAGGATGATGTGTTCTTGAAACAAACAAACAAACAAAACAATAAAATAAAATAACTGACAAGTCCTCTTTATTAAATAACAAGCAAATAGTCTATAAATATACAGTTACTTGTCTGTTGCACACGAGTGTCTCCTTTCTCCTATGGAAGGTGACTCCATGTGACAAAGCTCGGCAGCCCGTCTGAATGCCCTGTAATATATGAAGCTGACCGGCAAGACACACAGTTCACACTTATGTTCTCAGTCACTGCACATGCAGAAGAAAACGAATTCCAGTTCACAAAGACTCAGGTGCAGAATTATTAGCTTCATTTAAAATGTCCATGTTGTGCCTGCTAAGCATCTCTGCTAACAATTAAACCAGCTATTACTCTTGAGAACATGTGTCACTTTCTTTGCATTTGGGTCAAATTCAAACTGTGAAGATCCACTGAAGAAATAGAAAAACCCTGCAAATACAGACAAGAGAAAGTGAAATATTTTTTCAAACAAATAAATTTGGCAACATGCAAAACTCAGAATAATAGATAACTAAAAAAGAAGTGCTTATAGAGATTTACTAATGTGCCAGGGATTATGATAAGCGTTTTACATGTTGGTTTTTTTTTTTTTACCATTTATTTCTACAACAATCCTATGAGGTAAGTGTATCTACTTGATTTTACAGATGAGCAAGTTGAGATTTGGACACATTTAGTTGCTTTCCCAAGTTCACTCAACAAGGAAGGGATGAAGACAGCGCTCCATTCCAGCTCTATCTGACAGCAAAGCCAGGCTCCGGGCTATCAAGGTATTCTGCTTCCAATCAGATACAATTTTCTGCTTCTTTGGAATCTACAATCTCTTTACTTTCTGTCTTCCCAATGCTCCTCCTCCCCTTTCCCTATATTGCAGCCTGAGGGGCATTTCTGGTCTCAGAGAAGCACAGTAAGTCTTTCAGAACACCAGAGGACCCTCCATGGCTCTGCCATCATGGTGCTCAGGTTACCCTTCAGTAAAGATCATCAGCCTCCACCCACCCATCCTTGACTAGGAAAAAAAACAATCTTTTTTTTTTTTTTTAACTTTGGGCACTTGGAAAGATAAGTATTTGCAATTGACTAACGTGGGCAATGACTGACTCTTCAGGAAAGACAGAGAAAATCTCCCTGAGAATTGGTAGCAGCAATAGGATGGAGCAGAGGAGAGGCCAGCCAGCCAGTACTAAACTTGGACGCACCACTTGAGGAGATTTTTTATTACGACATGGGAATCTGAAAGGTAATAACTCTAAGTGTAAGGAAGTGACACTTGAGCACTTTGGTTTTACCTGCGCGTGTAAAATAGAGTACGGAAATTTGTGTTAATTATCTTTATGACTCAAAACTTTTATGAAGTAGTCCTATAATTAGTACAAAATTGGTAAGTTGAAATTTAGGGAAAGAAGGAGGGAATGGGTTAAAGAAAACCTGTTATTAAAAATTATTTCAATTCTCCTCTTCCCTCTGATACCATAGAATGTTTCAAGTACCGTATTGACAACAAAATAAGTATCCTCTTACCAAATGATTCAAAAGCAGCATCAAGCTTTGAGTCAATCCCTGGAAAGTCTTCTGCTATTTGCTTGGGATAGCCTGGCTCCATAGATTGTCTCTTCTCATCAAATCTGCACCAAGTAAAAGAAACACAGTTCAGCATTACATGGAGGCCATGTTACCAAAATTCATAAATTACATTAGGTTTAACGTGGAATTCTAGTAAACTTTCCTAGTACTGCAAATAAATGTCAAACATGTTTAGCACTACAGAAATATGTGACTTTAATGGTACTGCAAATTTAGCTCTTAAAACTGTATCTCCACCAGGAACAGAGGCAACATCCTGATTTGGCAGATGCTGTTTGTTATCATATTTCTTAAGCCTGGGCAGAAAGAACCTTAATCATCTTTCTATCACAAAGTCATTAAGGTGTGAATAGATACCTAAAGTGAATTGAATCATTCATCTCAAATAAATACAAATTTCAATTTCTCTACCTTCGTTTGCTCATATGTGCCCTCCCCAACCTGCACATCTGGATTTCCTATGGCAGCCTCCTTGGAAAAAAGGATTGGAACGAGAAGTAAAACACAGTAAACGTGTTTTGGACTTATTGGCTCGACCTTGGTTGGTCTGCCCAGATGTCTCAGTGTCTGGGCAGATGGCCCAGGAATCAGTCTCTCTGTGAGTCCCAGGTTCTATCCATGAAACCGGACTGTTACTGCTCATCATCCTCTTAAACAGGCAGAGGTAAAGAATGGGTGAGGGTAAGAGAAGCCCTTGAGAATCATATAGGACTTGAAGGATGGGTGGGATTTGGGTAAGGGGAGGGAAAAAGAGGGCTATCCAAGCAAGCAGGGCAATAGCACAGCGGGAAGCTCTAGCCTGTGGCACGTGGGACTCAAAACAGGGGCGCTTAAGAACCCCTGTTATCAGATGCTTCTATATTTGAAAGTAAGCACTTTCCCACAGTTGTCTAAGGCCCCGTCCTTCCTACTGAGAGAGAAGCAAGACTAAGAGTGAGGCAGGGGATTTCCTTCAAGAAAGAAAATAATTTCCCCAATTAGGTTCATACAAAGTCACTCCAAACGCATCTTACCTCCAGTATTTGTCCTCTACAAAGAAGTATGTTTTCTGCTTTTCCTTATCAAAAATGGCTGCGTCTATTTTCCTTACTGTTGGAGGGAAACCCAGAGTGTGGATGCCTCTCGGGTAACCCGCTTGTTCCTCATTTCCTCTGATGGCCCAGAACTTATTTCCTGTTAAAAAAAAATAATGTAGAATCACAATTGAATTTATAACAGCTAAGCCTTTGGGTTTTAGAAAGACTTTTTAGCACCTTTGATTTTCATCATAAAGAGGAAGCCAGAATTTTAGATTTAGTCACCATCTCAGAGTGGGCATTTGACAAAAATGTGCAGATCGAGTGAATGAACACAGATCAAACAAGGGAATTTACAACTCTGAGCAATTTGCATTCCTGTGTTCACTTTTATCATCTGTAAAATATAAATAAAATAATACCAGTCCCAGTTATTTCTTCATCACCTAAAGTAATGAAGTGGACAAAATTTGTCATAGAGAAAATTAAAGTCCTGTTTAGTTTTCCTGTGGGAGGGTTTATTTCATCAATTAAAGAAATTATTACATCATAATTACCTTTAAAAATGAAAACACTGTCTCTGCTAGTCACTTCATATGCAGCATCTATGCCTGAAGGAAGAGATGGCCAAAACGAAGAGATCGGATGAAATTCAGGGACAAGTGTCCTGAAGGTTTTGCGCCAAAAATATCTGAAATATATGTGAAAAAAAAAATGAAAATTGAGAAACAGTCTTTCACTTTTAGCATATTTTCCTCATTGTCCTGCCTCACTCATCTTTCCCCATCCCCTCATAATGTAATGCTATCCTGGTGTCGTTTTTAAAGGAGGTAACGATAAAATTCTCATTCTAAATTCATGTGCCTTTTGAAAAGCAAGCATGACTTACAACACTTGGGAATGACAATTCGAGGACAAGGATCAAATCATCCTGTATAAGTTCTTTGGAGGTGAACTTGACAGTTTTAGGAAAATGTGGAACGTGCAGCACTAGAATGATTTCAAGTTTAGAGAAAGCATTTTTGTTTTAAACGTTCAAAAATCTCTATCAAATTTCTGTTTGTTTTCCTTTCTAAGCATTGTACATTAAAAGAATAGATGGGAAAATGTAATTTTTCTGGTCTGACCTGTCTTTAAAGAACAGAATTTCTCCTCTCAGAGTGCTGATTGCATCAAAGGACAAAGCAGGATCGCACATGGCTAGTGTTCCAGGGGCGGGAGGCTCAGGTTCACTGGGCTCCACGGGGCTATCAGGAGAGGCAGGGGGAGGTCCTAAAGGGAACAGATGCCAGGACACAAACATTAGGAGAAATGTGGTGCTCCTGTCAATTTATGTGCTTTCCAAACATTCTCAAAGTGATTTGAGTTGAATTGCAAATGCTTTATGCAGCATTTTAGAGCTTTCCTGAAGACCATCATTGCAAAGCTACAATGCCTAATTTTTCCAGCATCACTCACCATAGAGGGATTGAATGCCAGTCACATCATCTTGAGAAAGGCGGACCCGGGCCGGGCCTTTGAGTGTATTGTAGAGTGGGTACATCAAAGCTTCGGTGTTGGTCGAGTGATAGAGACCCAGGGAATGACCAAGTTCATGAGCAGCAACAAGGAGAAAATTGATCCCTATTTAAGAAATCAAAAATAGTAGTTGCTTATACCTTAAATACATGGACTTTACATAGGTCAGCTGTGTATTATATTTGTTTACTTCCTGGAAGCACACAAGGGTTTTTTTTGCCTTGCTTTTTCGTTAACTGATCAATTTGTTGCTTTGATTACACCCTTAATGGAAAGCCAAGTGTTTTTCAAGGCTCTTTCTTGAAATCAATCTTGGAGACAAAGTGTCCAGCCATATGCAACTACTCCCCTGTCCAGCCTCGGATTCTATTAACAGCATGAGAAACTCGCCCCTTTTCTTGTTCTCTAGAATGGAATGAACCCGCTTGTTTAGCACGTCAGTAAATATTTCTCTTTGTCAATGGAAAGATAAACAGTGTTTCAATGTGTCACATGTGCTGGTCGCAGTCTCAGTTAAATGAATCACACTTTATTCATCTCAATCGGAAATCCTTAAACAATCTTACTCCTGTTATTTTTCGTTGGAATATTGCCTGGATAATTTTTCAGGCTCATGATCATTATTAAGTACATATTAGGTCCAAAAATATTAATAGGAATAGATGTCATAGAATTTGCAAGATTGGTTTAAAACACAACATGACGGATCACGTCTAGGATTTGTCACAAAAGAGATTTTGCATAATGACATAAGCACTAGCTGTATTCAGATTTTTTTCTTCACATTATTAAAACAACATAATGCTGAAATTGGAAGGCATTGGGTAATTATAATTGACATAACAAGTAAGTCGACTTTACTTTTGTAGGGCTTATTTGTGTAACTTGTGATCCTAGCAAAGTTTCCGTTTCAGACTTTGCAAGAAGAAGTTGTTAATTCAATCAAACCAAGAATTTTATCTAGCACTAACCCCACATTTGCACTCTCTACGGAGATTCTGTTTGCATTTTAATTATAAATCCTGACTAAATTTCAGAGATGGTATTATTCATTTCAGCCAATTGTCTGAAAACTTTGGAAGCCATTTCTCAAAGTATACAGTTACAAGCTGAGTAATACTCTTCTACATAAGTGGTTTGGACACTGTATTTGGAAGTTAATCCTTTCCTTCAGAATAAGTCTGTAAAAACTCTTCGTAACCTAGAGAGAGTAAAATGTTGATTTAACCAGAAAAATCTAAATGGGAATCTCAGTTTCTGGAATTTAAATCTCATTTCTATTTTGAAGAGTAAAGAAGTGATTAGGGGAAATTTCCACCATTTGGGTATAAGCAATATCCAGCATTCATGTTAGTGTAGATTCAATGCAATATACTATCCCTTAGATATCAGCACTCTGACATAATGAGAAATTTTCTTTTTGAGGAAGATTAGCTCTGAGCTAACATCTGCTGCCAATTCTTCTCTTTTTTTGCTGAGGAAGACTGGCCCTGAGCTAACATCTGTGCCCATCTTCCTCTACTTTATATGTGGGATGCCTGCCACAACATGGCTTGACAAGCACTGCATAGGACCACACCCGGGATCTGAACTGGCGAACCGTGGGGTGCTGAAGTGGCACGTGTGAACTTAACCACTGTGCCACCAGGCAGGGCCCAAAGAAATGTTTTTAATGGTGGTCCCAAGATCGCACAAGAACTACAATCATCAAAGAAATACTTAATGATGCTTCCTATGTTGAGCTTAGCAAGACTGAGAATAAACTTTTTAAACATCTGAAAATGTTTTCAACAATAATTGAAACAAAAATATATTCTGCTGATCTTTGACCCATTGGGAAATCCAGAACATCCCATTTCTTGAATATACTTAGTTATTAAGAGTTTTCCAAATAAAAAAAAAATCAACATCAAAAGCTTTCTGAGAGATGTGTAACTAACCTGATGCATCCTTCGTCCAGTGTTCATCATCATCAAAATGAGCATCTCCATTCATCCCTGGCCCAGGTGGATAGGCATGAGCCAAAACTTTTCCAGGTCCATCAAAAGGAAAAAAATCTCCATGTTCTAATAGAGAAAATATTTTTATTGGAAAGATAGGTAATTAGAATCTCTTTGGAACATTTTCCAGTGAAACAACACCAGATAAATGGATGCATTTCTTGTTTTTCTTGTTTGTGTTTGTTTTTTACCTCGAACTGCAAAAGTGATCATTATGTCAGCCTCTCCTTCATAAATCCTGGAGAATGTAAGTGGAGTCACCTCCTCCCAGATTTTCAGAGCTTTCTCAACGTCAGAATCAACAGCATCTCTTGGCAAATCCTGTGTATAATTCACAATCCTGTATGAAAAAAGATTGAAGATATTTTCTCCTGTGATAGTGATTTATAAACTTTCAATATTATGTCAAAACCTCTTTGGGCCTATTACCTGTAAGTAAGGTGAGTTTTGCTCCACTTTGGCATGCCAGGAAATGTAGTGAAGTGACCGACATCAGGAACTCCGCATCTGGATTTGTGCATCACCTCCACAGTGTCAGAGTCCAGCTTTCCTGTCACCTTCAACCCCAGGAACTTCTGCATTTCTTGAATTTTTTTAACAATAGGACCACTGTCCTTTCTTCTAACATATTGTCTCATTTCTTTTCCAAGGTCGTAGTATTTTTCTAGGTAGTCCTAATAGAATAACAAGTATAGTTTTTAGGTCATTCTTACGATTTTTAGCCTTTATAGTAAATTTGTGTAGTTGCTCACTTCCTCTATTTGAGGTATTCCTGTAGTTTGCTGAAATCAAAGTAAATGTCATGTATGTTTAATTCTTTAATTACAGACTCCTCCTCACTTTTGTTTTATCTTTGTGACTTATTAATCTCTGCAGCTTAGTTTACTAGCAAAGCAATGAAAAAGAGGGGGAAATTGTAATATATATCCAGTGAACTTAAAAGAGAAAAACAAAACAATCAAGCTTTTTGGGACATAATTGTATATTTCAGGTAAATTTATTCAATTCCTTCAATTTTCTACATTATGCTTCTCACAAGGACCTGGCTTAAGAAAAAAATTGGACAAATCTCTATGTCTAAACATGACACTAGCAATATAAATATCTAGCTAAACTTACATTGGATTAAAATACCTAAAGAAGTTCCAATGCAAGTGTTTTATATACTCTTCACTTGTTATTAATTTCCTGAAGCCCCAGTGCTGTTGCGTGATGTTAGGAAAACATCTAATGTTTCTGGCCTTTGTTTCTTCCTACATGAAAGGAGGACCCCAACAGCATGATACTGGGGCCCTTTCCACTTCCAACACTTTTTAACTCTCAGTCCTTGAACTATTCCTACCCAGTAAGCTCAAACCATTCTGTGTGAGTTTTATGAATGCAAAGTAGAGAGGGTTTCCCTGCATGCTCCTGTCAATGAGTGTGAGGGCTGTATCCATTAATTACCTGAAGAAGGTCCATGTTGCTATCCTCGTCCCTTGCAGATCTGTCCAACGGATAGGCTGAGCACGCTGCCACGCATAGTAACAGCAGAATTGGAAGATTCTTCATTTCCGATGGCTTTACTCAGCTCTACGTTGCCTTAATGCCTTGCTCTTTGCCTAGCTTCTAGCCCATCCTCTGGAGCTCAACTTTTATAGGGTGACAGTGTTTGTTTAGATCATCCGCAGCTTGACTCATGATTGCTTTCATCCAAATGGCAGCAGGACCATTGCCAAAAATTCAAAGTCCAAAGTAGGGTGATACAACCTACTACTAACTTCTCTCAAACTTCCTAATTTTGCAAGTCAAAACAGTGATTAATCTCCAGGAAATGCTTCCTGTCTTGTTAAGGAGAAAACTAGGGCATTTTTTTTCCTCTGGCTGAAGTAGGCTGACTTGGCAAAAAAGTCAGAATTATGCAGAACTTTTAAAGGAAGTTTTATTTTGAAAAGAACATATTTAAAGTCAAATGTAATAAGATGTAAGTAAACGAAAAGCTACATTTTTATAGCTATAGTTTACACTCAGATTCTGTGATAAATAATAATGAATAAAATTGGAAGAGAGAGTTCATGTTTTGAATGTTTGATTTGAAATCGCTCCTGTAGCTTTCTGGTTGGATTTGTTAGTTCTTGAAGAGGGAATGTTCACGGGCAGGCTAGGACAAAGACTGTGAAGAAGAAGGCTGTGTATTCGTTCTCCTTTGGCTGGTCTTAATTCTGTACCCAATTCATTAATGAGTGATGGATCTGTCATAGCTGCTCCATAAATAGCAGTAAAATTGAAATGATTATACTGCTCACTGAACTGAAGTACTCCTCTGTCTTTCTCCTCTGCACTTCTCTTATTTTTCAACCTTGTTCCCTCTTTCCTAAATTCAAATTAGTAGATACTTTGAAGTAAAAAAAAAAAAAAAGCCACTATGGGCCGGCCTGGTGGTGTAGTGGTTAAGTGCAGGTGCTCTGCTTCACAGTCTGGGGTTCTCAGGTTCAGAACCCGGGCACGGACCTAGCACTGCTCATCAAGCCATGCTGTGGAGGCATCCCACATAAAATAGAGGAAGATTGGCACACAAGTTAGCTCAGTGACAATCTTCCTCAAGAAAAAAGAGGAAGATTGGCAACAGATGTTAGCTCAGGTCAATCTTCCTCATCAAACAGAAAAAAAAAAGAAAAGCCACCCTGAATTCTCTCTTTATATTGCTCATCTTTTTTCTCTTTTCTCGTCTGTTCTCTGTTCTTTCCTTCTCTTTGTTTCCTTTTCTTTCCTTTTCTCTGTCAAGTAGAGCACTGCTCATATCAATTGTGTATAGTAAATGCTTGTAGGGAAGACCCTAAACATTCCCAGAGAAGGAAACTTTGTTAAACTTTTTACAATCCTCTTGCCACCCACCCTTCATGCCCACCAACCTCACCTACTTACCCTTACAAAAATAAAGCAAAAAAGAAAATGCAAAAAGGATGCAAATTAAAGGGTGCAAAACTTACACTTACTAAACATTCAAGAAGTGCACCACGTTTTTCTTCATCACCACACCTTGTTTTTTCTTGCTTCTTTGTTTACTAAAGAGCAGAACATCCTGGGAGTGAGAATTAAGTAAAATGATGAACAGAAATGTGCACTTAGTGAACGTGTAATAAGTTTTGCTCCCTCCCATTTGCATCTCTTTTGCATTTTCTTTTTTAGTTTTATTTTTTGTATGTTTATTAAAAAACATTGGAGAGATTTCACCCAATATGTATAAAACATATAATAGGATTCCTCAGTGGTAGTAAGATTCCTATAACTGGAAGTGTCTGGATGCCTGATGACCACTGTTCCACAGAACAATCATTTGTTATATGACTAAACACACACAAGGGTCAGATAATGGCTGGTTTTATAAATTTGACCTCCAGGCATCAGAAGCCTAGAAATAAACTTGAGTTCAATCTGATTCAAACTTGGATTCAAAGGTGGCAGTTAGTTCAGGTAATATTCTATCTGGTAACTTTTCACATTTTCCTCATATTTATCATGCTTTTCCATGACTAATTAGACAAGATAATACAGGATCCTTGCTACCTCCAGCTGATAGAATCATTCTTTCAGCTATACATTCATTTATCAAGTGTCTAAGTCTTAAATCCTTCAGAATACCAAAACTAGGAGCGTAGATTTGGAGATAATATTTAAAAGAGAAATTTAGAGGGAAAGTGACTAAATTAGTTATTTAAAAATAGGAAAGAAGGGGGGCCCGCCCAGTGGCGTAACAATTAAGTTCGCACATTCCGCTTCTGCAGCCTGTGGTTCGCTGGTTCAGATCCTGGGTGTGGACCTACATACCACTCATCAAGTCATACTGTGGTAAGCATCCCACACATAGAGGAAGATGGACATGAATGTTAGCTCAGGGCCAGTCTTCCTCAGCAAAAAGAGGAGGATTGGCAGCACATGTTAGCTCAGGGCTAATCTTCCTCAAAATAAATAAATAGGAAAGAAGGAAGGAAGGAAGGATAAAACAAAGGAATGAAAGAACAAAGGAAACATATATATCCAGTAGAGGAGATGATCACTGCCTAATGAATTCTATAAGGAATAAAGAAAGAAGTTGTACAGGAATTATGCAGAAGGAAAGGTGTTTACTTTAGAAAAATTCCATAGATAAAACTACAAATGAATGGAGCCTGAAATGATTTGGACATAGAGAAAAATCCAGGAACAGAATAAACAACTACGCAGAGTCAAGAAAGTTAAGAGTCTATATGGAAAATGACAAAGAGTTAATTTTTTAATGAAATAAAAATTGCATGAAAGGTAGTTGTGAAAAATGAAAAATAAAATTGTGAGAAGGTAGGTTGGAGCTCGTTTGTGGAAGGCCATTAGTCTGTAGCTAAGATGTTTAGTTTATTCTGCTGGTGATGGAAAGCCATGTTTCCACAAAATATTTTAAATATAATTTTTCATATTTTGGTAAAGTTTTCTATTTTTATTACAGAAAATTTAAAATATAGAAGAAAGATAGAAAGACGAAAACAAATCATTTATAGTCATGCCACAAGGAGAAAAACGCTATTAACACTTCACTGTATTTTCTTCTAATTTTTAAAAATCTGTATATTCTTTTCTACATCATGCTGATCTTGGGAAATTTATAAAATTTTACTATTTTTTCCACAATTTTGAATCTTACCAGTCAGAAAGAAGTACTAATAAGGCAATGTATTCCCTTTGAATTATAGGATAAAACACGTTACTTATTGGGTTTTTTAATGCATGTTTTTCATAGTTGAAATAAGATCATACTTGCTAATACTTATGCCTATTTGCCACAGAAACTTTCAACCATTTTAGTTGGAAGACGAACTAGAGGTGAAAAGGGTATTAGGAACAGATAATATCAGCACGTGGATGGCTCAGGTTTTTTTTACTTATAAAAGTGCAATGACTCAGATCACTCAACGTGAGTGGTAAAAATGTGGAAATCCATTATTCAAATTCCTTGGCAATGACAATGGCCTTTATGTGTCTCTAGGCAACTCTGATTTTATGGAAAGAAGGACAGCATTTTGTAATATTCTTGGCATAAATATTTCTATTGTGCAAGCAGAATAACGTAAATCAAAGCTTTTAGTGGTACTCCAACAGGCAGTATATTCCATCTGTTTGTAGCATAAAAAATGTTTCTCATATGAGGATTAGAGTGGAAGCAGAAGGAGAGCTGCTGTGAGAACCAGCATGGACCAGGCATGACCCTGAACTCCCAAACCCACCTGACAAGGCATCTTGCAATTAGAAAACCGACATTGTCAAACAAACTGAGGAAAGGCTGCTCCATTAAGCTTTCTGTAACCTGACCTATATGTTCTGGAATTGTTCATTTTGAATCAGTTGGCAATTGTATGACTTCATGGAATTTTTTTTCCAAGGGTGGTTCAAGAGAAGTTTACTGATTTTAGCATACCTGGGATATTTTTTTTAACTGCTCATAGAGGAGATATCTTGGATGGGTATAAAACTCAAGGGTCACAATTTCTTTTCTCTTTTCCAACATCAACACTCATCCAGTAGAGATATCGCTTCAATGTTTTCTAGTTCATAGAAAAATATGTATCCTGGTCCCTGAGCAGGCATGTGAGGAACAAAATATTTTTCTAGTTCTTTCAGAGGACCAGAAGTTCCTGAGGTTTCATAAGACAAACATTGGTGGGCCTCCAAATTGTTCTTTTTTCAATATAACTTTAGTGTCCCTGTAAACAGTGGAAAAATTCATTCTAAAACAAGCAACATTATTTTCAATGTTATAACTTTTTTCCTTTTCATTTTATGTGCCGTAGTGCAAGTTTGAGAAATCCTGTTTCAGTGGCTACTAGCCAGTGTCTTCTTTCTAAAAAAATACTTATCTTATTTCTTTTTAGTTCTGTGATCCATTTTGAGTTAATTTTTGTGAACGTGTAAGATTTGTTTCTCAATTCATTGTTTTACATGCAGACATCCAGGTGTTCCAACACTATTTGTTGAAAATACTGTCTTTGCTCCATTGTACTGCCTTTACTCCTCTGTCAAAGATCGGTTGACTATATGTGGATCTATTTCTGGGCTCTCTATTCTGTTCAATTGATCCTTTTGGGTATTCTTTCAACAATACTACACTGACTTGATAACTGTAGCTTTATAGTAAGTCTTAAACTTGGATAGTGTCAGTTCTCCAACTTTGTTCTTTTCTTTCAACATTGTGTTAGCTATTCTGGATCTTTTGCCTAGTCGTATAAATTTTAGAATCAGTTTGTTGATATCCACAAAACAACTTGCTGGGATTTTGATTAGGCTAGTTGTCTTCCTAGACTGAAAATTTTCCCGTTTGATGTTTTTGGTCAGATCAGTGACAAAATAGAAACTGTTCTTTTCTGAGATTTATCTGGTAGTGGTGATTGAAGCAGATTAGAACACGAAGAAAGTGAGGTTGACTGGTTTAGGGACTATTATAATTATCCAAGTGAGTTGTAAGGGGCACCTGAAAGACTGCAGATATAAGCAAAAAGAATCAAGAAAGGAAAGATGATACAGACAGAAAAAGGATAGGCAGGATGAAAGAGGCATGGCATGGTATTAAATGTTGTAAATTGGGAAGAGTCGAAAC